CCCGCTTTCAGAGTAAGAAAACCCATTTCTTGCAGAGACACTCTGTCGCGCAGAGGAGGCACGGCACATTGCGCGTCTCCGGACTTTCGCAGCCCAAGATCGTTCAAAGGCTCGCTACGATAAGCGACATTGACATGTGTCGCACAGCAAAGGTGATATGGTGTGGCTGTGGACTCCATATCGCAAGAGTGGTTTGTATCAAAAGTTTCTGGCCTGCTATACAGGTCCCTTCATCGTTTTGTCGCGCCTTAGCGATGTTACGTACGTGATATCACGCCTCACATCTTCTGGCCATCGCTCCAGGAAAACTGACATCGTACATTTCGCCCTGTTGAAGCCATACCACGCGCGACACCACTCGCCCAGTGGGCATCGTCTGCAGTGGGGAAAATGATACGGGGCTTTCGTTGAAGTGGGGTAGAGGAAGAAGAAGTGAATGTGTTCGGTGCCAGGCCTGACTTATGCAACCATCTATCATCCCGCCTGTACAATGAACATCTCTCACCCGTAACAATATTTCCTGTCTTAGCTACTCCTCGGCAAGCATTGGCGAAGTGTAAAATCTGTCGATGTAGAGATGGTAGCCACTCTCTCTCCGGCATATCTTGCTGCACTTTGTGGTGTACACGTATCCCGAAGGAGTACGGCCACCAGGGTGGATCCGTTCTTAGCGAGCCGCAGGACACGCGTTAACCGTCGCCGTGGCGAGAACACCATACTGCTCAAAGTCGCAACACTTTATTGTGGCAACACCAAACGCAGTACAGCCCGATGCAAAGGCGCGACGGGAAAGCAAATAGGCTTATCCACGCCCCGGGCACAAAAGTACTACACAGGGTGTCACGAGCACGTCTTCGCGGTAAAGGTGATCCACGGAGACACCGGGACCAAAGCCGGTTGCTCGAGCGAGGGCAAAGGCGCTCGCGTTGGCTTCGGAGGGAGACGGGTCGGCGTAGCTAGGCCACGCACTAGGACACCGTACCGCCCTTCGGCCGTGCGTACGCAGTGGGGCAACAAAAGGTGAGCGTTCGCCTCGGGCGCAAGGTGCCGTCAGCGAAGTCCGACGAGCCCCGAGCGACGGGAGTCGACGAACGGAAAAGATTACGTGGCTCACCGTTTGCAGTCCCGGAGAGTATCTTTCTGCCCGCTCCCGACGCAGCGCACGAAAACCTCTCGGGAGACTCCGCGCGCAGCGCCACAGTCAACATCCGCTACCGGTTGAGGGGGGTTAAACGTCACTCCGCTCCCCCAGCGCGGCAGACAGCAAAGGAGGGGAGACATGTCGGGACATGAGAACGGCAGAAAAGGCGGCAAAGCCCGCGCAAAGGCAGCGGGCTAGCCTCAATTCCCACTTCTTTCTGGAGAAGGTGCAGAACAATCCGGCAGGTGAAAAGCAGCTAGGGGCGGCTCAGACTTTCTGTTGTGCTGCCGTAGTAGGGCTCAAATGCTGAAATGTACCTCGTTTGGCAGTCGGCAAGTGCGTAAATACACATGCCCCATTTGGTTGGCTTCTGTGGATTGTTGCATTTAAAAGAGACACGGCCCTTAAATCCAACGGTGCTCTCGTCGATGCAAATCTTGGGGCCGGCTCTGAAATGCTCTTGGGATGTGTCGATGTATTGCACAACCTCCCTAATTTTGCTTCCATGAGTTGGCGGCTGACCTGAAGAGGCATCATGGCATGGGGCAACGTGCAACATTCAATAAATTTGCAGAAAGGTCTTCCGGCAGAATACGTGCGGGAAGAAAGACACCTTGTTTATAATATCTTGGCTAAAATACTCCTTCAGCTCTGCTTTTGGATTCATGACCATGTTTATAATTACACCAAGAAAAGCTTTGAATTTCGTCAGTCACGTCTACCCAGTGCTTCCGAATCGACTCCTTTGGAAGCCCACCGGCACTCAAAAGTTTTTCACGTGCATTGCGGTTTGTTTCGTGCACAATATTGTCCATCAGCTGGTCTGTAAAAAACAGCAGAAAATAATCCAGTTCATTGTTGTGATTGGAAGCACTTACTTATGATCCAAAGTTCATGGCAGTGAAGGGAAAATGAGTGAAATCAGGCAGTGCGTTATCCAAGTAAACCTTCCAGTTCGCTGCATGTGGTCACGCACTGTTCCCCCGTGTGTCAACAGACGTGTTGTCTCCACCGCTGTCGTCGTCGTCTTCGTTACTCACTTCGGTCGAATCACTGTCTTATGGGGGCACGTAATTTTCTTCCTCACTTAAGTCATATTCACTGTTGCTAAAAAGTGCCACCGTAACACGCATGTGGTGAAAACGTGGCCATACTTCTCAACGAACCACGTGCGAGTGGATATGCTCTAGGTTCCGGGCTAAACATAATGCTGCTCCCTAGTGTAAAAAAAGTAAACATCAACAAAAAATGCTCACTAATTTCTCAAAAGATGGCGTTTCATGTATTTAAAAAAATGCACGTGACTTGCTGTGAGAAAAATCGCAGAATTTAAATAAGGAGCACGCTCATCGGGCGTTCCCCGATAGCAAACCGCTACGGCCGTGTGGCGTTGCACTGCCCGACAACGGACCACAAAGTATTAATATAAGAAGTGGTAGTAACCTAGATGGCATCCCACCGGTAATAATGGAAGTCAGAAAAGCCTTGGAGGGAATGCAAAGAGGCAAAACTGCTAGTGAGGATCAGGCAATATCAGATCTGCTGAAAGACGGAGGAGAGATTGTGTTAGAAAAACTAGGCACCCTGTTTACAAAGTGTCACCCGACGGGAGGAGTATCAGAATTCTGAAAGAATGCTAATATCATCCTAATACATAAGAAAAGAGATGACAAGGGCTTGAAGAATTACAGGCCGATCAGCTTGCTCTACGTTGTATACAAGCTATTTACAAAGGTAATTGGTAACAGAATTAAGACGTTAGAATTCATTCAACTAAAGGAACAAGCATGTTTTCAAATAGGCTACTCAACAATCGACCACATTCATACTATCAATCAGGTAATACAGGAATGCTCAGAATACAGCCAACCACTGTACATAGCCTTCATTGATTACGAGAAAGCGTTTTATTCAGTAGAAATATGAGCAATCATGCAGACACTGTGGAATCAGGGCGTCGACGAGGCATGTATAAACATCCTGGAAGAAATGTACAGAGCATAAACAGCCGGCACAGTGCTCCATAAAGAAAACTACATAATGCCAATCAAGAAGAGTGTAAGACAAGGGGATACGATCTCCCCAATGCTAATTACCGCATGCTTACAGAAGGTTTTCAGAGGTCTAGAATCGGAAGAATTAGAGATAAGAATTAATGGAGTATACCTTAGTAACATGCGCTTCGCCGATGACATTGCATTGCTGAGTAACACATGGGACGAATTGCAACTCATGATTACGAAGTTAGACAAAGGAGAGCAGAAAGGTAGGTCATAAAATTAATCTGCAGAAAACGAAAGTTATGTACAACAACCTCGAAAGAGAACAACGCTTTCAGATGGGCAATAGTGCTCTTGAAGTTGTAAAAGACTACGTCTACTTAGGACAGGTAATAACCACGGAACCGAACCACGAGATTGAAGTAACTAGAATAAAAATAGGGTGTAGCACGTTTGGCAAGCACTCTCAAATTATGATTGGTAGATTGCCACTATCCTTCAAGAGGAAAGTATATAACAGTTTAATCTTGCCGGTACTTACCTATGGAGCAGAAACTTGGAGACTTACAAAGAGGGTTCAGCTTAAATTGAGGACGACGCAGCGAGCAATGGAAAGAAAAATGGTAGGTAGCAAGAAGATAGCAGAGTGGATTAGGGTACAAACGGGGGTTAAGGATATCATAGCTGAAATCAAGAAGAAGAAATGGACATGGGCCGGGCATGTAGCACGTAGACAGGATAACCGCTGGTCGTTAAGGGTAACTAACTCGATTCCCAGAGAAGGAAAGCGGGTTAGGAGGAGACAGAAGGTTAGGTGGGCAGATGAAATTAAGAAGTTTGCGGGTATAAATTGGCAGCAGCAAGCACAGGACCGGGTTAACTGGCGGAACATGGGAGAGGCCTTTGTCCTGCAGTGGACGTAGTCAGGCTGATGATGATGATGATGATGATGATGATGATGATGATGATGATGATGAATTAAGGTTGGGCGGATGTTGGGGTGCTCTCCCCCTGTGATGTTTGCACCTCATGGCCCGCACGGTCTCGCGGATGGGGCGTTATTTAGGGTAAAGAACTATAGAGTGGTAGGTGGCGCAGGGTTTGCCATGATCATCATCATCATTATCATGGTTAGTGCGGTAGCACTGGCAGTGCTGCCCTGCGGTGAGGCTAGGTGGCCACACAGAAAAGATTCGGGACTCTTTTTGTTGCGTGGCGCCTGGCCCAAACAGTCATCTCCCGCGGTGGGTCCAGGAGGACGACGACGCGTTGCCGACGCCACTTTCGTGTTACCTTGTGTTTGTGCTTATATTTGATTGAGTATATTGGAATGTCGTTTAAGGTTGTTTTGGCGTGTCACTAGTGACATATTTGATTTGCCTGAAGATATCTTATACGCAAAAGTAATATAATAAAAGTACATGATGTCTAGTTGGGTTTGACCGTGTCTACTGTGTCTGTTCGCCCCAAGGGCGTGTATGTCTGGCTGTGCCGTGTTTAATACAAAATTTTAAAGAGTGAGCAGTTAGCAATTTTGATGGCATGGAAAGTTGGGCATGTTGGTAAGGGTTCATTTTGGTCAAACTGCGTGGTGGTACATGACACAACGAAAGAAACAACACAAGCAAGCACAAAGCTGCGCTTCTTTCTTCATGTCTCACCCTACCATGCAGTTTGACAGTGTGCTCAAGCTTCGTTATAGGCCGCTGCCAAAAGCACGATTGTGTTTGTACTTGCCTACTTCCATGTATCAGCAGTGTAATTAATTGTTTGTGTGAGGCCGCTCGAAAGCGACTGTTATGTATTACTGCTTGAATGGTGCTGCCATCACTCCCCCTGCTTTGGTTTGCCTCGTGCAGGTCAGCACTCTGGTGACGTGTTCACAGTGGGGGAAGTGGACTTTGAAACGGCCAGCGAGCACCAGCTGCAAGTGCGGCTGGATGATGCTGGCACCACCACACTCATTCATGTCCAGGTATGACGACAGCTAGGTCTTAATAGATTGCCTTGATTGAGCTCCAAGGACTGTCTCTATGCAGCAGAGCTAGCAGGTGTCCTTGCTTCGCACATCCGTATACATTACCTCCCTTAAAGGCCAACTCCCATGATTTTTTTTAGCTTGTCAGAATAATGTTTGTTTCATGTTTCTGAGGCACTCTTGTCACGTGCCCAATAGCTGAAATGCTCAAAAAGTCTGAAACTTAACTTAGTGCGCTTCCACATATGATGTAATGCACTAGAATCTCGATGATACAAATTTAAAGGGAGCACGCAAAATATTCGTATGATACCGAGTTTGTATGATCCAAAAACAAGTTAAAACTGATATTAAAGATGAACAAGAACTTTATTGGCAACTAGTTCTCTCTGAAAAAAGTCCACAATGTTATTTTGAACTTTCCTGCCTTCATCTTCTCTCAATAATGGGCCTCGGTTTTCTCACTCATACACCTGGCACGGCACATTCACACTTGACTTTGAAGGGAGCGAAAGCGGCAAAACTCATTGTAAATTCACTTTTCTGCTTAAGCGGCAGGAAAACTGCACCGCGAAGAAAAGTCAGTTCTGAAGAATTCGCACTGGACAATTCAAGCGAAAACGCCCGAGCGGCTAGAAAACTACGTTTGCGCCCATCGAAAACGTTCACATTCGTCCTGCTCCTTGTACATGCCACCGCCACCCCCGCTATTGCGGCTTGACAATTCATTCAATTTTGCCCTTTTACGGAGCAATTAAGTTTCTACCGAGTTCTAGTTATGCATATGAAGCGCTGAAAAGAAACAGTTTACACTTTTACCGGCATTGTTTCGGAAGATACGCCAGTAGAAACAACACAAGAAGACGCAGCAGCGGCGACAGATTCAGTCACCAGTGCAAAAGCGAGACACATAAGGGCTTGCCGACTCGCTGCTGCTTTACCTTCTTCTACTTCCAATGTTCTCAGTGATCGTAATCTAAAGCAAACTCTCAGTAACATGTCCGTGTCAAGGCCATGAGCTTTGACGCGCTGCACGAGTAGTTCCCAATAGCGCCAATGCGATCCACCGCCGATGTTTTTTCCGCCATGTTGAATTAGCGGCTGCTTCTGTAAATCATGTGGTTTGAGAGCTAGAGCAGCTGGTGCAGCCAAAGCTGTGATGCAAAAAGGCAATCTGCTATCGCATGGCAGGAAAATTGGTCTCGGACCATGTCGCCCCGCTGGCGTGCACTGGTCCATCGCACACTCATATCATCTGCGGTGGCTGGAGAAACCGTTTGTATAACAGCGAATCATGGCGTATGTTATATAGTGTAGTCCATTCGAAGCAACCTTAAAGTTGTTACCATCACGAAATTCGCATCAGCTGTAATGGTATTATCGAGATTCTACTGTACTTTGCCCGAACCTGCCTGGTAGCACATAACACCGCCAGGTGGCAATACTTGTCCAGGCCGTTCAAGTTTGTGCCTGCGGCGATTGGTTGAAATGCTTACACGCTTATGTTGAGTACAGTTGATCCCGGATATATCAAACTCGAATATATCGAATCACTGTCTATATCGAACAGTTGAAAAATTTTATTGAATTTCTCGTGCAAAAGTATGGGAGATCCGCTATATCGAACGCTGTGCCGTGCCAAGGCCCAAAAACTGCATTTCTTCTGGCAAATATTGATCAATTTTCAGCCGCGTTCTAACAAGGTTTGATTCCTTTTCATGTGCAAGTGACAAAAAGGCGGTGTCATTCTATTGCGCGGATCTGATTCATTCACGTTCGCAAGTGCGCCGGTATATTTACTACATAATCTGCAGGTCTTGTCACGTGCGCGTAGTGTTTCTAAAAGACCAATCGCCCAGGATATGAAAATGAGAATGCGAAGTAACTCGGGGATTTCGTTGCAATGTTCGCATTCCCTTGTTTGTTAGTGCTCAATGGCATGCCAGTCTGAAAAGCATGCCCTTTGAGATGTCAAACCTCAAGACGTATTTTAGTATTTTAGGTTTAAGTGCATGTCTCTGAGGCTTCGCTTTTTCTAGCTCTTTGCATCATACCAGCTGAAAGCATCAGCTGCCAGCTACAAAGCCACAAGTGACAGCGATATCGCTAACATGTCAACTCTGGGAACTCGGTGTTTTCTTTTGCGCCTTGTGGACTTGTGTGTTTCTCGCCTCGTTCATGATAAGTCTTCATTCGGAAGTTGAATTGAACGTTGACCCGCACGTAGGAATAAGAATTATATGACTGGCGCTTGGAGCAACGTCAAGTAAAGCATCGTCATAAACGTTCCTTGCGGGTGAGGTGATGACTTTAAGTGTGTCATGACCGCTGAAAACGGTGTACGGTTGGTGCCTCAGTGACTTCTGCAACTTAGTGTTTCAGGGCACCATTTAGGACAGTGAGCGATTTCATCAGTGCGGATGATGACGTTGGAGAGCGAGCTGCTAGTGTTCCTTGAAGCATGTTGCTACAAGGAGGTGCTACAGTCCGCCGAGCGTATGTATTGTATTTGAGGAGAGGGAATAAAGTTGTTTGGTTTCTGCTTGCCAGCAGTCTACCCTGATTCTCGGCTTCCGGGCTGAATATATTGTCGGAAGTGGGATTACGTCGTTAATTCAACATTCCAAACGCCGCCGTATCGACCCCCGCAGAACCCAAAGTGAACAATGTTCGGGCGGGCAAATCTGTCCTGCGTCCTCCAGCAAAATTCACGTTTTCTGACAGGGGAGAACGGCCAACGTGGATTTAAATGTTCCAAGACTACGCCTTCATGGCCGGCCTGCACAATGCCAGCGACGAGGCCCAGATACGGACACTTCTTTACTGTATGGGACCACAAGCCAGATCCATTCTTGCGTCCTTGGGGGTATCGACACCAAAGATGCTTCCTTTCACATCTGTCAAAAAAAAAATTGGATTCACATTTCGTGCACCCAGTAAATGAGATATACGAAAGTCGTCCTTTTCACCGCCGCATTCAGCATCCAGGTGAATCTGTGAATTACGTTTTCATGGCGTTAAGTAATCTGGTAAAGCGCTGCAGCTACAACAGCCCGCTTGTCTAGGACCGGCTTGTTTATGACACATTTGTCGCAGATATAAGTGACAAGAGACTGTCTCATCAATTATGCTGGTGCACAATACTTACCTCTAAAGAAGCGCTGTGCCAAGCCAGCATTCATGATGACGCAGAGAAAGAGCGGTTATCTCGCGAAAAATTGACTGTGGGTAATACCCTTGCCGAAACTCTAAACATCGATTCGGCTCATCGAAATGATACGCCCACCCCTTCGTCCCATTCTCGCTATCAGTCTGAACACTTGGTTGCGCTATCATGTCACTTCTGTGGGCGTTAGCGATACCCTCGCAAAGACTGCCCGGCCCAAAAATCCGTATGCCACTATTGCATTTTGCCAAAGTTTGTATGAAGAAGTAAAGAAATGACCTGCTCGGTTCCATCGAACTTCACAATGTTGATTCATGTCAAGCAAGGTACATGGAAATACTTTTTAGTGGGCAGGCACAGGAGTGTCTGTGGTCTCGCTGTCTTTGCAAGTCGAGCGCAGGTGCTAGATTCCATTGAAGGGGAAGTCTTAGGCTCTGGTGAACAGACACTTCACATCCTCATTACCTTCAAAGCAACTTTACAGTGGTGTGACAGAGCCACAGTGCAGATCTTGTTTGTGGTTGACCGTCAGCGTGCACACCTACTGGGCTGCCTGCAATTAAATTCTTAGGGTCGTTCAGTTCATGGATTCTGCCGAGTGCATTCATTCCTCTAAAGCAAAAATTTTCCGAGGACTGGGGAAATTTCGGCAAGTTGAAGCATATGCTTTAAACCCAGCGCCCGTTCATTTTTTTTTTTAGTGCCCCATGGCGGATTCCAATTCCTTTAGCCGACGTTCTCAAAAGAGAGCTGGATGAATTGGAGTCGCAGGATGTCATACGGAAGGTAGAGACGCCAATGGAGTGGTGCTTCGGACTCGTAGTCATGCCCAAGTTATTTGGCGACTACAGGATTTGTGTTGACCTGACGAAGCTTGATGCAGTAATTGAAAGGAAGCGATTTATATTGCCAACGGTGCAACAGATTCTTGACCAGTTGTGTGGAGCACGGGTGTTATCCAAGCTGTATGCACGGTCTAGCTTCCATCAGGTGAAGCTGAGTGCCGACAGCCAGGAACTCGCGACTTTCATCACGCCGTTCAGTCGGTATTGTTATAAGAGACTCCCTTTTGGTGTTGCCACGGCACCTGATTACTTCCAATAGTAAATGTCAAGAATCCTTGAGCGCTTGCTTGGGGTCGTGAACATGATTGACGACATTGTAATTTTCGGCAAAGACTGTCAGGAGCATGACAAGCGCCTGAATGCTGTTCTGGCCCGCTTGAAGAAGAGGGTGTCGCCCTCAACAAAAAGAAGTGCGCATTCAAGGTCACCTCAGAGAAATTCCTGGGTGCAGTAATTGGAGCAGACTGGATTTCACCAGACCCAGACTAGGTTAAGGCTGTCAAGGAGCTGCCGCCGCCGACCGGCGTTAGTGGAGTGTGATGGTTACTTGGAATGACCAACCATGTCGCACGCTTCATACCTCACTTATCCGATGTTACGGAGCCCATTCGTTCTCTTTTGAACAAGAACAGCACCTGGACTTGGGGTGACAGTCAAGAAGCTGCCTTCTCACGCCTGAAGTTGTTGCTGAGCTCCGAAACGTGCATGGGAAAAAACAAATCCTGCGACCACACAGCAGTATTGGCTGATGCCAGTTTCTATGGCCTGCGAGCGGTACTCCTAGAGCACCAGCCTGAAAGTACTCGACGGGTCGTTGCGTACGCCTCAAGAGCGCCCACTTTGACAGAAGTGCACTATAGCCAGGCAGAGAAGGAGTGCCTTGCCATGACTTTGGCTGTTTCACAATACGATCAGTTCCTTTGCGGTCTCACCTTCAAAATATTGACAGACCATCTTCCTCTGGTTACACTTCTGGGTAACAAGGA